GAATATAAAAACTAATACAAACTAATATAAAGTTTAAAAAAAGAAAGCAAAGAGAAAGCAAAAAGTTCAAGGGGAAAAATAAACCAAAAGTGGACAAGAAAGAAAAAAGGATACAGAGAAATTATTACTGATCTTCTCTACAGCAGTTGTAAGTACTTATAAATTTAACTCTTCCTCTACTCTTCCTATAATCTATCCTATCTAAACATCAAAACCTAACAAACCCTAAATTCATTTTTTCTATCTTCCGCAAAATATCCACAAGGGATTTCCAGTTTTCTAATCAGAGAATCTGGTTATCACAGTGATTTACATCATCCTCACTAACTATTCCTCCATTGTATGTGTTCTGATCTTTGTAGATATAGGTACATTCCAGCATTCCAATACAGGTAGTCCTTGATTTACGACCACAGAATTTGTCACTAAATGAGAAATTTGTTGAGTTTTGCCCCATTTTACGACTTTTCTTGACACAGTTGTTAAGTAAATCACTGCAGTTGTTAAATTAGTAATAAGGTTGTTAAGTGGATCTGGCTTTCCCATTGACTTTGCTTGTCAGAAGGTTGCAAAAGATGATCACAACTCTGGGACGCTGCAACCATCATCCACACTCTGGACCTGATTTTTATCTCTGGTCAGTGGTTGAATGATCTTGGTAGAGGGGACCTAGACATCAAACCCTTGTCATGGACAGATCATTCGCTCCTTCACTTAGACTTTCCTACCGCTTTCCCCCGCCGCAGGGAGACGGAACCAACCAGATGGTTCCGTCCCAGGCGCCTGATGGATCCCGAAAGGTTCCTGACGGAGCTTGGGCCGTTTCCTGAGACTCTAACACACGACTCGACTGAAGAACTGGTGGCCGCCTGGGAAAGGGCGGCCGCTGGAGCTTTGGACCGCGTCGTGCCTTTGCGGCCTCTGACCCGATGCCGATCTCAATTAGCTCCTTGGTTCTCTGAGGAGCTGAGAGAGATGAAGCGTCGGAAAAGACGCCTAGAGAGCATTTGGAGGACTAGTCAATCCGATTCTGACCGGACACAGGTGAGGTCTTATATCAAGACCTACCTAGTGGCGATAAAAGCGGCAAAATCTAACCATTTTTCCACTCTTATCGCATCTGCAGAGAACCGCCCAGCTGCCCTGTTTAGGGTGACCCACTCCCTTCTTCGGGGGGGAGTACGGGAAGATCCCTTGCAGGGTCGTGCTGAGGATTTTGTGCAATTCCTGCATGATAAAGTCGCTCGGATTCGGGATGGCTTGAACTCCGATTGGATGAGTCCACGGGAGGAGACTGGGGCAGGTCTTGAGAATGTTATCTGGGAGGAGTTTGATCCTGTGACTCCCGAGGATGTGGACAGAGTTCTGGGTAAGATTAGTGCCGCCACGTGTTTATTGGACCCGTGCCCCTCCTGGTTGGTACTGGCCTCCCGGGAGGTTACACGAGGCTGGCTCCAGGGGATTATAGGTGCTTCTCTGAGTGAGGGTGCCTTTCCTGCCGCCTTGAAAGAGGCGGTGGTGAGGCCCCTCCTCAAGAAGCCTTCCCTGGACCCGGCTGAATTAGCTAACTATCGTCCAGTCTCCAACCTTCGTTTTGTGGCGAAGGTTGTTGAGAGCGTGGTGGCACGACAACTTTCCCGACACCTGGATGAAGCTATCTATCTAGACCCGTACCAGTCGGGCTTCAGGCGGGGGTACAGCACAGAAACGGCATTGGTCGTGTTGGTGGATGATCTCTGGAGGGCTCGGGACAGGGGTTGCTCCTCTGTCCTAGTCCTATTAGATCTCTCAGCGGCTTTTGATACCATCGACCATGGTATCATGCTGCAGCGGTTGAGGGGGTTAGGAATAGGGGGCACCGTTTTGCGGTGGTTCTCCTCCTTCCTCTCCGACCGCTCGCAGTTTGTGTTGGCAGGGGAACAGAGGTCGACCTCGAGGCGTCTCACATGGGGGGTGCCGCAAGGGTCAGTCCTCTCGCCCCTCCTGTTCAATATTTATGTGAAGCCGCTGGGTGAGATCATCCGTGGTTTTGGGGTGAAGTGCCATCTGTACGCTGATGATACTCAGCTGTACATCTCCACCCCAGACCACCCCAATGATGCCCTTGATGTGATGTCTCGCTGCCTGGAGGCCGTGCGGGTCTGGATGGGGAAGAACTTGCTCAGACTCAACCCCTCCAAGACCGAGTGGCTGTGGCTTCCGGCGCCCCGATATAGTCAGCAGGTGCCATCGCTAACTATTGGGGGTGAATCTCTGCCCCCCACAGAGAGGGCTCGCAATCTGGGTGTCCTTCTGGATGCACGGCTGTCTTTAGAAGAGCATATGACGGCCGTGGCCAGGGGGGCCTTTTATCAGGTTCGCCTGATTCACCAGTTGCAGCCCTTTCTGGATCGGGATGCCCTACGCACGGTCACTCATGCCCTTGTTACTTCCCGGTTGGACTATTGTAATGCTCTCTACATGGGGCTCCCCTTGAAGAGCACTCGCTCCAACTGGTCCAGAATGCAGCCGCGCAGGTGGTTATGGGCGCAACTCGTTGTGCCCATGTGACACCCCTCCTACGCGAGCTGCACTGGCTCCCAGTGGTCTTCCGGGTGCGATTCAAGGTGTTAGTTACCACCTTTAAAGCACTCCATGGCATAGGACCCGGGTACCTCCGAGACCGTCTTCTGCCACCAATAGCCTCCCACCGACCAGTCCGTTCCCACAGGGAGGGTCTCCTCAGGGTGCCGTCAACCAAGTTATGTCGACTGGCGACGCCCAGGGGGAGGGCCTTCTCTGTGGGAGCCCCAGCCCTGTGGAACGAACTGCCCCCGGAAATTCGTAAGATCTCCGACCTCCGGGCGTTTCGCTGCGCACTGAAGACCCTATTATTCCGCCAGGCCGGACTAACAACACAATAGTTTTTAAATTGGGATATTTAAATTTATTGGGGTTTTAAATCTGAGCCACTTTATTTAATTATTTTAAATTTTATATTGTTGTTTTGTTTGTGTTTTTAAACAGGCTGTACACCGCCCTGAGTCCTTCGGGAGAAGGGCGGTATAGAAATAAAATTATTATTATTATTATTATTATTATAAATATGAACCAGTCATCAAGCATCCAAATGTAAATCATATGATCACAGGGAGGCTGCAGTGGTCATAAGTGTGAAAAATTGTCATAAGTCATTTTTTTTCAGCGTAGTTGTAACTTCGAACAGTCACTAAATGAACTGTTGTAAGTCGAGGACTACCTGTATACCCAGTCTTTATTTAGCCACTGAGTTCTGTTACAACAACCAGGTCATTAAGTGAAATGTTCATTATGAAAACCATGTGATTGAGATATGAAGATCATTGATGCTGCCATCACATTCAGATAAAATTCTCTCATGCAACAATGCCAGCATTAGTCCCATTCGAGTGTGTTGTTGTCAAAAGGATGAAATTTGGTTATAAATGTGTGCATTGGTCAGAAAATGATTTTAAAATTACTGTGTATTATCTTCATATTTGCAAATGGTTACCAATTGAAGTAGTCGCTAAATGAAGAGTGGGTATATCTTTTCCAAGGCCTTCATGGCTGCTTTATTGTATCCTAATTTGTGGCATATTTCAAGACTTCTTGCAGCTTTATTGTTGATGGCTGATCCTAAACAGCAGAAACTCTCTATCATTTCAGTATCTTCATTGTCAACCCTAAAACTTGTGTGCTAGCTTTTGTCTTTAGTTTGGTTTCCTTTATATTTAATTTTATTCCCATTTTTCATTGTGCTATGTTTTAAACTCAAACCATAAAGGCAACATCAACATAATAAAAGTTTTTAATTTACAGATTTTCAGTTGATGCAAGATTACTTTGGTACTTACAGCATTACTAAGATCCAACAAATTCCTAATCAATTTATAAGTAAACAGTCAGTATTTCTGGTCAATATTCTGTAGACTAATGAGCACTTATAGCATTTATATCAGCACTAACTTTCACTGATTATAATTTTAGCTTATTTTTATGCTATTCAATCCCGTACTTCTGGACAGCATATAAAAATACCAGTACTATGTACAGTGATTTATAATATTAAAAAACATAACAGGTGGCCATCCTCAGTTGAACAAATGGTGTTCAACTTAATAAGTCTTTACGAATTCTATGCAGTATTAAAACTGTCCTAAAATGTGGCAGCATAAAAGGGATTCCTGGCTAAGTGGTTATTTGTCCTAAAGGAAAAGTAGAGCTCGACTTACAACAGTTCATTTAGTGACTGTTCAAAGTTAACAACAGCACTGAAAAGAGTTACTTGTGTCCATTTTTCACACTTACAGCATCCCCATGGTCATGTGATTTACATTCAGATACTTGATAACTGGGTCATACGACAGATGTAGTGTCCTGGAGTCATGTGATCCCTTTTGCAACCTTCTGACAAGCAAAGTCAATGGCAAAGCCAGATTCACTTAACGATTGCAAGAAAAATCATAACATTTTTCACTTAGCAACGTAAGTTCTGGGCTCAATTTTGGTCATAAATCGAGGACTACCTGTATATGCAATCTGGCATTATAGCTGAAGTTATGGAAAGCTTCTGGTAAGGAGTTGGCACACATGTTTATACTATCATTTCTAAAGTGGAGTGGATCACACTCCACTTTTTACAGATATTGTTTTAGCCATGCTGAGGTTTGCTATTTTTAAAGCTGGAGCTATCAACGCAAATGGAAAAAAAGTTCTATTATTTCAGGGAGCACTGCTTCCGTGCAGCTCAACAGCGAGGGCTCCAAACAACCCCCACGCCACTGTTAAGAACACAAAGAGCGACAAATCAGACACCCTAGCGTGAAAGCCATGAAGTAGCGTTTGGTCTAACGACCGAGTAACTAACTCCCACGCTGCCATGTTGCGAGCTACCCCGTGAGAGCGTGGGGCAGAAAGGAACTACAGGGAGCATGCGCAGAAACAACATTTTTCCCCCATCGCTGTGGGGGAGGGTTGTCGTTCCTCTGAGTGCGCAGGCGCAATAGTGGTCCGGTAACGGAGACCCGCCTCCTCTGGCCTGCTAAAGAGAAGCTAACGTGATGGCTGGCGGAGCTCGCCTTCCGCTCCTCCTTCCCTCGCCAGCGATATCTCAAGGTGGAGAGAGCCGACGTGAGATAGGAGACCTGTAAGCCTTGGTGATATAGAAGGTGGGCTGCTTCCTCCCCGGAGCTTCTCACCGCCTCCCTCCTGTTCGTGCCTTCCCAGGTTCTTCAAGTCATGCTGCCTTCGGTTTATGGGGCTTTTGCACTTGGCTTGTCTGGACCGGGTGGCTAATGGATAGGAGAACATTGCACGTTTTGAACATTTCAGATTTGTGCTAAAGTTTGCTGGCATTAACGTTCATGGGCTAGGAAATGGCTGCTGTGTGGCTGGGTCTCCTTGGGGTCCTGCTTTATACCAGTGAGCCTGACTTTGCCCTAGATTAAGAAAAGGGGTTCCTTTTAGGGGTCCGCTTTATGCAGTAACAGGTGTGAGCATTCTTACAGGAACCTGATGGTCATGTATGATACTGCATACAGATTTTCCTGTATGGTATTCATTCATGCAGAACACCATACAGGAAAAGATGTGCTAACTTGAGGTCTGCAATGTATAGTTTTATATGATTGTTGCGGCTTTGACTGCTTATTAAGTAATTATATTTGGTGACTATTTGGGTTTTTTTTAAAAAAAAAAAAGTAAAAAAGTTGCACAAGCAACTGATCTTGTACCGATTTTTTTTTTTTTTTAAACTTTGCTTTTGTGATGAATATTGGAATCCGGCAGATACGTTTTTATTTTTACCCGTGGCTAATCCGTGTTTCTTATAGATGCTGAATTTATTAAACAAGAAGAAAGCACGGAAAAAATGACTATTTGGCAGCAACTCTTGATAGGTAACCATCTTGTATTTCAACCTCTTCCAATCTTCTCGATGGAGTAATTTGACTTTTAAGCCGATCAGGAAAACATGAAATGAAATATATTAATTGGTACATATAAGCCCAATTTCTAAATATATCTTCAAATGGGACTCTCAACACTACTATGCTTTTTCAAACATAGAATGTGAGTTGAATTAAACGTTAGACTGTTACACAGTTAATGGAGGCGCAGTGTCCTTTCTGGCCTTGTAATATCAACTTTTTTCTCCATTTCTGTTATCCTCCTGTCGGTTCCCAACTGAGTAATATATAATAATAGATATTGGGAAACAAAATTAACATGGAAATAACTTCAGAAAGAAACCCCTATAACAAAACAACAGTACTAAAAGTTTCTATCAAAGCTTAAGTATGCACAGAATAAGTGATAAATCCCATTTCATTTAGCTTTGCTGATTTCCCCACCCCCCCTCACAGTAGAGGCATTACTGAGTTTTAAATGTCTGAAGAAATTTTGTGAATAGGGAAAATGTAACCCTCCTTACCTCCTGTGTACAAGAATATAATGCACATATATGAGAAATTAGTATATAATTCAATGTTACATTATATTTTATATGCGTAGCACCATAGGTTTGTGTTATTGCATTCATGTTTCTGAAAATTTCTGTGCAGTTTCCTTAAGGTTTCTCCTAATATTAGATTCAGTAATAACCATACGATTGGTTGGATTGCAATCACTAGTCTAAAATCATCCAATGAACTCTGTGGCTAAGTAAGACCCTGAACCAGTCTCTCTCACCTCCAAGTCTAATATCTTGATCACCAAGCTATACTGGCTGTATTTTGTAGAGTGGAGCTGAACATCAGTTTTGAATTATATATATGCGCTCTTAACTGTTCTGTAGGTAACAGATTAATCTGGTTACCTTTGTTCATGGAGTGCTAAATTAAATGGTCACCTTGGCACAGGGAGCCCTTGTGCTCAGTCTTGGAGCTCTTCTGTAAAGAGGGCCAACATTGCCTCAACAAAGTTGCTAAATATTTTATTGCCATAAGATCAACTCCTAAATGTGATGAACAATATTGAGTAAAGACTCAGGTTTAAACTTCACAAAAAAACCCTCTAGGCTGACCCTTATTTAACCTGACTAATTGAAGGATGTTGAAAGGATAAAATAGGGGAGGAGAGAGAAAAACACATCTTTTCTCCTAAGTGCCTGCAACAGGAATATGATACAATAAAAATTGGAGATTAAATTTCAGATTCAGTTCTTAGGTTAGTCAAATATGAAGAACAGAACAGAGTAACAGTTGGAAGGGACTTTGCAGGTCTTCTAGTCCAACCCCCTGCTTAGGCAGGAAACCCTACACTATTTCAGATAAATGGTTGTCCAATCTCTTCTTAAAGACCGTGGGAGCATTCAAAACTTCTGGAGGAAGTTATTCCACTGATTAATTGTTCTCACTGTTAGGAAATTTCTCTTTAGATCTAGATTGCTTCTCTCCTTGATTAATTTCCACCCATTGCTTCTTGCCCAATATTTCATTCTGCTTAGCAGGTTTTTAAATCTGTAAAAGAAGATACCATTGTAAAACTCTAGGATGGATGTGGATTATAAAAAAATGTTTATTAATGAAGCATTTTGAATATGAAAAATTTTAAACATTTATAGAAGTGTTCCATAATAAATGTTTACGTGAAATCAGTTTGAACTACAAGAATTGAATATATAAAGTGAATACATTGCTATCTGCCGATGGACATAATTCCCAAGAAGTGTTCCAGCACACACTTGAATGCAGTAGGTGTAGATGTCTAATAAGATTAGAAAGTTTTAAGCATCCATATTCTCACTTTGTCTCATTCCATTTGCCCTTGCTAGGTTTAATAATTCTGCATCCTATGTGGAATTGTTGAGTTTTAATAGAACATTTTATCCTTAAAGGAAGTTGATTCAGTTATATTTTATGTATAGCTTTGGTCCAGACTTATTTTCTCCCAGTCAAGCCGAGATGGAGACGGGGTGAATGTTGAACTTATTTGTATGACCTCAGAAAACAGGAAAAATTGACTCTGGGTTTTAAGTTTGAAGCTTACTGATCATTTTCTTACTATTTTTTCCAGGTAAGCATTTATTGAAGAACAGTACTCAAATTCTGCAGGAAGAATCAAGTTTTCCTCCATTGATCAAAGTCCATTGATCAAATACATATCAGGTGGAAAGATAACACAGTCAACAATTGTCTCACAAGGATTGTAATAAGTGTTCTAAGCAAACTTTTTCATGCTGAATTAAAAATGAGGTCAATTTTTTTCTATCAGGCTTAGTTATTTGTGACCCTATTATTCTGTTCAATTAGTGATATCATGGTGCTTTATGTTAATTATAGTAGCATATCTGTATCAGATATGTTTAGTTTGGAGGAATTGACCTGCTCCCCACTCCCATTTTATGTTATTTCTGCTTAACAAACACAACAGGGATCACATGTAAAATAAGCACACTATGAAATACCCAGATTTACCATCTGCAATGAAGGTAGCCCCATGTAAAAGTTTTACTGTACCAAAGCTTCTAAAAATGGGACTATTAGTGACAATGACTAATCATAATGATCGTGCTTAAGTAAAGCAGAAAAGGAAAACCTTAATTCTGATCTAACATTTCAGGTTTTCTGAAATGAGCCACATTTGTTGATGCAAGGGGATCTGAATAATCTTGCTTGTGATTTTAAGTTGTCTTAGAAACAGGATGAACTTTTAATATCAAAATGAAAGGGAATCTTCACTGTCATGATACTTAAGGGTTTTTTTCTTTCATTATGTTACATAATGAATGTAACAATTTATTCTCCCAATAAGATGGACTAGTATTTTGTAAATATGTTTATTTAGTTATGGAGGCTCTTGGCCATGAACACAATGTAAATCATTAGCTCCTTGAAAATTAAGCCGGAAGGCTCTTTTTTATAATGGGAATAATTTATTTTCGACGTGTTGGCCCATGCTGCTAACAGGAAAGAGTTATATGAGAACAAGAAAGGAAAGATCCAATGTGAAAAATAAAAATGGAGTACCGGTATTTTTGGAGATCTGAAAGTCCCCTTATATACAAAGTAAGGTGTTTTTTCCATGAGTAGGGCAGTAAGAAGAAAAAAAAAAAACATCAAGCTCAGAAAAAATGCCCCAAATATACCTCATTTGTTCACAAACAGTTTGGGAAATAATAAAGCAAGAAATCCACAAAATACTAAGCAATAGAATATAACGTCATTGAAAATTCATTTCTTGGTCTTTCACATGGACTTTTCCCTTGACAACCTCAGCATAGTCAGTGATGAGCATGGTGAATGATTTTCCCAAGGTATTTGAAACATGGGAAAACCAAGAAAAGTTGAGCCCCAGTATGCTGGCTGAGTATTGCTGGCCTTTGATATAAAGCCCACCAGATAATTAAACACTCCTTTTTGTGCTTCAAATTAAATTGTTAATATAGGCTATTATCAAAAGTAAGTTATGGATCACTCAGATTACCATACTTGATAGAAAAATCCTGAAACATTTGAATTCAGCATTAAAAACTATGAGACTAACCAGTTTTCGTGTGACACAACATTCTTTTCTCCATCCTTTCAAGTTACCTTTGCAACGTTGTTTCCAAGTGTGATTTTTTTTATTCCATTTCAAGATTATCTCTATGGGAAAAGCTCATAGATACAACCATAGATAGATGCTTTATCATATTCATCCAGAGATACAAATCTGCATATAAAATGCAGTCCAAGAAGTTAAGGATTAAATAAGGGATATATTTTTAATGTTGTGAATAAATCTAATCAAGCGTCTCCAGTATTTCTTCCGAACTAACTAGTGGCTGCCAATTCTATAGCTGTGATAGCTTTATTCCATTTTCAAATTTATCATACAAGAGCCTTGAGAGCTCTTCCACCATATTTCTCTAATAAGTCTCCAGGTCAATTACCAGAAAACACGATTATGCTAACTGTTCTAGAATAACCAACTGACAAATTCAGTTGGCCCGTTTTTGGTCCCAGGAGGCTGCAGGGAGACCTACTAGGCCCAAAAGAGGGCGCAGGGGGAGGGGGTCGCATGCGCACGCATGGGGATGGGGCACGCCAAGGCGCATCACATGCGCATTGCATTATGGGTGCCAGCACACGCACTGTCGCATTCACATGCACTTTCAGCACACGACAACAAAAAGGTTAGCCATCACTGTCTTAGACGAATAGTGCAACAATACTAAGATTCTTTCACTCAAAAAAATCCTTCCTTCCCCATCAAATTATTTGCTGCTAAATGTTTGGTGCAGCCCCTCATTGGATTTCAGTTCAGCTCATATTCTAGCTATGCTTTGCTGGAATCAATTCAGATTTTTCCAGGTATAAATGCAAATTTAAACTGAAGTCTAGTTTGTCTAAGATGGAGATTTACATTGGCTGGTAATTTTCACTTTATGGTTAAAAATAAACTTTTGACCCCTTAACAACCCTTGCAGTTTACTCAGTTTGGGAAAAAACCTCATTGTATATGTACCCTTTTGCCATATGGTCTTCTATCAGAAACCTTGTTTTCCGTACTGTAAAACAGTATATATTTTTAAATGTTATGGATCTAAGATTGCAGAATTATTTAAATGTCATCTGGAGCTAACTAATTATTTCACTAACTTGGAATTGCATGGGCAATATAGAACCTTCTCTTGGGCATACTTTAATACATGCCATATGTCTTATTGGAGGTCTGGTTCAATAGGATTCTCTTTGAGATAAACAGGCTCATACCAGTTTAGCAAATAGGCACCAAAGCAATAAATATATTCTATACAACAGCATGTGAATTGTTGATTTTTGACCATAACAAAGCATTTTCCATTGTCAAACCAAGAAGTTTAATTGGACTGATTTTTGAGGTTTTATAAGATTTGAGGTTTTAATGCCTTTCAATTACATTATAGAACCCTTACTTACCAAAATATTGGTCTATGTTTTGTCTCAGTAACACCTATGGAATTTGGATTTTTGATACCTTTCAGTAGTCAATTTATGATGTGACATAAGCTTTTCAAATAACACTACATGGTAGAATATTTTTCTACCACTAGGTGGAATAAAGTTCTCTGAATGGCCTTCTGCTTTCTCTGGTATTTTTTCTGCTGTAAACAAAACTGCTGTAATTGCATTCCAAGAATTGTTACCCTAATTGATTACATAAGGGAACTGTCTGAACAAGGGAAGGAAAACAAGTGCTGTGCTTTTTAGCAAGCCATTTCAGGAAGTTTGAGGAACAAGCTCTTCTGGAAAATTCCATCAGAGTTCTTTGAACAAACACTGTGCTTTATTTAAGGCAAGAACATTGGGCATCTGCATAAGTCATTTAATTAAGTCTTTGAAATATAAAGTTCTAACAGACAGAAATAGAAGAGATGTATTATAAATGGAGGAGATACATAAGAATTTCTGCTAAAACTAGAAAATGAAACCTTTAGCTTTTTATATTATCCCCTAATTTCAGGCATGGAATATGCAGAGCTTTTTCAACTGATTGACACTAAAAGCACTTCTTTTGTTTCCACATAAATTCAACAATGGATAAAGTACCAAAATTGACACTTGAATATTTTCAAGTTCAGTCAAATAGGGAAATCTAGAGCTGATTTTTTAAAATTATCAATTGTGTTTAGGTACCCATTAGTTTAGGAACTTTGTTTTATAGTCCTTAAGTCAAGTGGTTAACTAAAATTGTTTTCTGCAACACTGCTGCTTTATGGCCCATATCATAAATGGTAAATCCCTGCATGCCCTTAGGAGACATGTCAGCTTGGCAATTCAAATTCCAATTTGAAAACAATTTTGGGGTAGTAGAAGGAAGTTGAAAGGGAACCTCTTTTTAGAGTCTTTAAAGGAAGTCATTTACTTAATATAAGAACTGCAAAACAGATTGGGTGGGATATTGGTTAGGACTGGTAAACCTTATGTTCTATCAATAATATATATAAAGATTAATTTCATTAATCTTCTCAAGGATTCATAATTAAACATCTGAGATTGGGAAGACTATCTTGTATAATTCTTTTCATGTTTTGTAATGTTATAACTTTGGGAGTGGTTGCAATTTACTTCAGTTACTCATTTTCCCTTCATGAAAATCAGTGCTAAGGGAGTCTTGTTATATATGTGTATTATTTTATTCATCCAAGACTTGGAATGCTTGTAATGTAAGGCTAACTCATAGCTGAGGTAAGGGTGCATGAAGCTCTATTTGAATATTGCATAGCTGTGGAAAGGAATTACACTACTTTTGCCAAAGTCTGTCTTCCATCATATACTACTGGAGGAGGAGAAGAGAAGAGAATTCTTTATTGGCCAAGTGTGATTGGACACACAAAGAATTTGTCTTGGTGAATATGCTCTCGGTGTACATAAAAAAAAGATACATTTGTCAAGAATCATAAGATACAACACTTAATGGTAGTCATAGGGAACAAGTAAGCAATCAAATCATATTAGGAAACAGTCAATATAGATCTTAAGGATACCAGCAACAAGGTTACAGTCATACTGTCATAAGTGGGAGGAGATGGGTGATGGGAACGATGAGAAGATTAATAGTAATGCAGACTTAGTAAATAGTTTGACAGTGTTGAGGGAATTATTTGTTTAGCATAGTGATGGCATTCAGGAAAAAACTTCTTGTGTCTAGTTCTGATGTGAAATGCTCTATAGTATCGTTTTGAGGGTAGGAGTTGAAACAGTTTATGTCCAGGATGTGAGTGATCTGTAAATATTTCCATAGCCCTCTTTTTGACTCGTGCAGTATATAGGTCCTCAATGGAAGGCAGGTTGGTAGCTATTGTTTTTTCTGCAGTTCTAATTATCCTCTGAAGTCTGTCTGTCTCGTTGGGTTGCAGAACCAAACCAGACAGTTACAGAGGTACAGATGACATGAGAAGTCTCTTCCTTGACCTGCTACAAAATGTGAATTACCCCAGGCTGACATAACAGAAAAGGCACAAGAGCAAAGGCAACAACTTCTTGATTTTGTTGTCTCTTGTCACTATATTGTATCTGATTCAAACAGCCCTGCTTGTATGGACTTACCTTTCAATGCCTAAATGAAGTAAACACTACTATCTTTGTTGTAGCATTTTGCAGAATGATAATCTGTAGGATAGTTTTAAGAATTTATCTGGTTAACAACAACTTCCAGTGTGTTTTCTTGATAAAGACACTATCTTAAAATGCTTTCTTTATGTTAGTTGTGTTGCTATAGCAACTTAAGTAAGTTTTTCTGAAATATCTCTCAATTTAATGTTTCTCAGCCATTTCTTTTCAACAAATATGGGTTCTAGTAAAATAATCAAAAGGCCATGGTTTATAGGCATTCTGTTAGGCTTATCACTTACAGTAAGCCTTTTAAAAATGCATTGATACTGTTTACAATACTTTTTGTAATTAAAATAGAACTAATGGCAAAGCAGTACTTTCTAGTGTAGGAATTAGCTTTTTCTAAACCCAAATTAAAACAAACATATTATTAAGTGAACTAACTAGTGAAAAACATTATTTTGGCTCCTACGCCATAATCTTTCAATAGCTGTTCCAGTTCTGGACTTCACCAAATGTTCTGCCAAGATGTACTCGCTTCCTTTGTTTTGGCACACTCAACTAGAGACCACCTGCTCTCACCCCTCTCGTGTTTCTCAATTTAAGGATGGAATTTGTGCCCTGCCTAGACTTATTTGGCATACCATATGTTGACATCTACTGTTACAAATCAAGGATTACTCTTAATATCAAGATTGAGGTGTCACTTCAAAAAATTGCATTCTTGAGCTGTGTTGATGCTGCTTAGCATTCAACCATATAAAGTGATACAGCATACTGTATTCTCGCCTGCCAGGAGACGTTTCTGTTTGGCCTTATTAAAGTGTTGAAGTAAACCTTTCTGGACCAGCTCATGTAATTTGTAATTTTAAAAACCATACGGGACTGGTGAAGGAATGCAAATAAAATGAATTTTCACTCTGGGAGGATAGACAGTGGAGAGAACAAAGGTCCAATTTCTTTCCATCTGTGGGGGGGTGTTACAAACGAATTTTCAGGTTTGCAATGGAAACCTGGATGACACTCAAAATCGGGCTGAATTGTGGCTCTATGAAAGCAAGCAGGATTTACAAGAAGCCACAAAATCACAATCAGCCCTAGCTTTGTTACTCAATCAGACAGGATAGCAAGTCAACTTCAAATCATAGGAAATGAGATATCATTGGCTCATCACACAATTTGAGGAAGTCCCTTAAATTATTTGATAGTGTTCTGGCATTGAGTGGCTAGTTGAATACCAGTACACTCTTAGGATTTAAGACAAGCATACTTATAGAAAAATGAGTCCAGACATTTGCACAAATAAAAAAGAATGTATAAAGTGTTCTCTAGTGAACAAGAATTCCAAGAGAGATTGCAGATGGACCTCTTTTGTGCCAGCTGGAACATAATGTCTTCCCAGTTAGGTTGACACTGAAGTTTTCAGCTCACTCTGACTTTTCTGAGCTTACTTATTTCATAAGTAAAGGAGGAGGATTTGATTTTGCATCTGGATATAGCTGCCCAGAACATTCCTGGAAAGATGTCTTTTCTTGGCATCCATCAACTTTTCCTCCCTTTTAGAGAGTCACGTGTCTGTTCACTACAGTAATAAAGTTGAGATAAACGGAATAACTCTAGGACACGTGTCTGTAGAAGATAATGTTATTAGAGGGTAATCAAAAGAAATGCAGAGTTCAAAAGCCAGCAATACAATATTGGGTGATACAGGTTAAAACGGAGTTTATATAAGTTACCAAGGGAAAAGGTTAAAATAAATAATTTTTTTTAAATAAATAAAATATTTTTTTTAAAGGGGAAAAAGGGACATGATGGCTCAGTGGCTAAGATGCTGAGCTTGTCCCAACTTCTGCCAATCTAGCAGTTCGAAAGCACGTTAAAAATGCAAGTAGAAAAATAGGGACCACCTTTGGTGGGAAGGTAACAGCGTTCCGTGCGCCTTTGCCGTTTAGTCATGCCGGCCACATCACCATAGAGACGACTTTGGACACCGCTGTCTCTTCGGCTTTGAAACGGAGATGAGCACCACCCCCTAGAGTCGGGAACAAGTAGCACATATGTGCGAGGGGAACTTTTACCTTTTACCAGGGGAAAAGTGGTTCACACTACTATGTCTCACCATTTCTTCTACGGGAACACTATAACCACTAAAGCTGTAAATACTTTTAACATTTTAAAATACCAAACAGAAGTGTCCTGTATCTGCTTTACACATTATAAGCCGCATGGGTGCAGTGGTTAGAATGCAGTACTGCAGGCTACTTCTGCTGATTGCTGGCTGCCTGCAATTTGGCAGTTCGAATCTTACCAGGCTCAAGATTGACTCAGCCTTCCATCCTTCCGAGATGGGTAAAATGAGGACCCAGATTGTTGGGGATAATATGCTGACACTAAACCACTTAGAGAAGGCTGTAAAAGCACTGTGAAGCAGTATATAAGTGCTATTGCTATTGGCAGAAGGGGCTACTCCTTTAGAAGGGGCTACTCTGCCTACAAATGTCAACACATTCTGTTAAATAAAAAAATATACAGAAATTTATAGTTTCCTTATATTCAATGACAAATAACTTTATCTTGGACTCTGGCACCTTTGATTCATTCCTTCAAGATTTTATTCATCTTACTGTCTTGTTTTCCAAAGCTCTGTTGGGCACAACCCAACATTGTGGCCCCTATTATGGTCCCAGTTGGCTGTGGGATGATGAAGGAAATAAAAGTAATAAAATTCAGGCAGCATTTATGTGAATTAGCTTATCATTCCTGTTCCTTAAAACTGGATTAACCCACTCTGTGAAAACGTGTAACACAAAGCAACCTTTTAGGGTTATTTCTATAAATAACCCTAAATTTATAAACTATAAATTTCCACTTGATGAAATGATCCTTTAAAGGTTAATTGTAAGTAAAAAATTGTTTTAACATCCTGTCTTAGAAATGTCAAGATGGCCATACTTCAGTATATTGGGAGCTGAAAGGAATCATTTTTTGCTTGCTTCTTTTTGTGAAGCCTTACTGAGGTGTT